ATAATTGTTTAGCCAGTTGACCTATCTAGGTCTCTATATTTCTGAATGATGCCTCAGTATTTTTCTGATTAGCCATAGTGCTTTGCATGAATTTTCTACAATTGCCTCAGTATTTTTCTGATTAGCCATAATGCCTTGCATGAATTTTTCTAAAGTATCCTCCAATTTACTTATTCGTCGAGCACTCGAAGGATAATGTTGTTCTTGCTTGTTGATATGGAGGTTCGTCGATATGATCGTTGTTGAAATGCGGGTTTTCTAGTAGATGAGCTAACACCTTGTTTCCACCCAAAATTATGATTATGATTCTGATTCCCTCTCCATCCTTGTGCAACCACTACAAGAAAAACATCAAATAGTGACCAAAAATTTGGTCACTAAATGTGCAAAATCGGTTACTAATTAAAATAGTGACCAACTCGGAATCGGTCATCGAATCAATGAAAAAGTTAATTATTTACATTTTTATTATATCTATTATTTATTTTCCCTATCTCTTAATGATATTATATTTTTGCTTATTTAAGTTTTTATTTATATTTATTTCACCTATCTCTTAATTATATTATATTTTTTAGAAGTTTAACTTATTATTAGGTGGTTTATTGTCATTGTCGGGATTCGAACCCGGTACCTTAGAGTTGGAGGTCGAAACTCCAACCACTGAGCTACTAGGATCTTTTAATAATAACTTACAAATAAATTATATTTATATACAAATAAATGTATATCCGTACAAATATATAAATATAAAATTTATAAATAAAAATATATTTATATATTTTAATATATATTTAAATATTGATATATTTATATATTGATATATTTATATCTTTATATATTTTTACATATATTTATATTTTTATATATTTATATCTTCATATTTATATATAAATATATTAGTTTTCTATACAAATAATATTATAATATAGTATATTATACTATTAGTATAGTATACAAATAATATATTAGTATAGTATAGTATACAAATTATTAATTTTGTAATTTATATACAATGAAAATAATATAATGGTATATTAGTATAGTATAGTATATTTGTATTCTAATTTTTAATTAAATTAAAATTATGCTAATAATGTATATTAATATATGAGGGGATAATATTGATATATTGATATATTTGTATATATATATATATATATATTTATATATATTTATATATTGATATATTTATATATTAATATATTTATATATTTATATATTTATATTTTTATATTTTTATATATTTATATTTTGATATATTTATATATTCATATATTTATATATTTATTTATATCCTTATACATTTATATCTTTATATATTTATATATTTGAAAAAAAAATATTAAATTTTAAAAATAATATTATATTTTTAAAAATAAATATTAGAAAAAGATTTAAAAATATATATAAATTATATTTACATTTACAAAATATTAAAGATATATGTTTATATCTTTACATATTTTTATATATATTTATATGTTTATATTTTTACATATCTTTACATATCTTTACTAACAGCGGTTGCACCATCGCTCGAGCGAGATTAGAGTCGCTCAAGCGAAATACAACCCGAGAATGCCACTTTTGTGCAGGGGCGTTTCGCTCGAGCTAGAATTTTTCGCTCAAGCGAAATACATTTTAGATAGCGGTTAGAAGGGGAACCGCTCTTAAAAGCTCACTTAGATAGCGGTTAAACTGAAACCGCTATTATATGGTTTCGATTATGATCGGTCGGAATGCGGTTATGACCGATCATAATTAAAACTTACATTAACTATTTTTTTATATTATGTTTTTAAATTTTCTATTAGAGAAAACCTTTCAGAATTTAAAATGTTAAATACTTTTAAATATTAAAATTAACTTTATAAAAAATTAGGAAAAAGAAATTAATCCAAAAGAGTTCAAAAATGTATTATAATATTGTCAATTTTGAGTTTAATTATATTGTTCATTCTCAAAGGAGAAAAATATATTGTAATTATTTTAATGTAATAAAATATAATTTAAAATTTTAATACTAAAATTAAAAGATTAAATAATAATAAATTTAATTCTTTAAATTCGAGTAGCTAGAAACTAAAATTATAGTTTCTCTGTTTGAAATAATTAAAATAAATATTTAAAAATAAAAATCAAAACTAGTATTATCTTAAATTTATTAAAAGTGTAATTAAATCTCTATTTTCTTAATTTTATTTGTTTCAAACTTCTCAATTCTACATTTTTGTAAGTTCTATCATTATATTATCATCCTCATCTCCTCCCATGTTCTACTTTATCTTTACAATAGTCAATATTCTTAACTAATTTATAGTTTTAATTATAATTTTTTAGTATATATTTTAGAAATTAATCAATTCTAATCTATTATTTGAAAAACTAATCAATTCTAATCAATAATTTAGAAAACTAATCGATTATAATTAATTATTTGAAAAAATTATCAAATATGATCGGTCATTTTGAAAATATAATCGATCAGAATCGGATTTCGCTTGAGCGAGAGTAGTCTCGCTCAAGCGAAATACACCTCGAATATCTAATATGCACTTTAGATAGCGGTTATGAGGGAACCGCTATTATATCCTCTCAATTATGATCGGTCATTTCAAGTTATGATCGATCAGGATCGTATTTCGCTCGAGCGAGAGTAGTGTCGCTCAAGCGAAATACAACCCGAGAATGCGAATTACGTGTAGTTGGAGTTTCGCTCGAGCGAGAATATTGTCGCTCAAGCGAAATACATTTTAGATAGCGGTTCCACAGAACCGCTCTTAAAAGTGCACTTCTAATAGCAGCTTAACCATTAACCGCTATCTTAATTATACTTTAGATAGCGGTTAAGGTGGAACCGCTATCATATCATCTCAATTATGTTTTGCAAAATGCCTCTACAAATGTTTTTAACAATTAAAAACAAAGTATTTTGACAAAAGCTTTCTCAAATGCCTCTACAAAGTATTTTTAACAATTATATTGAGTTTAATTCTACAAATTAAAAGATTAAATAATAATAAATTTAATTCTTTAAATTCAGTAGCTAGAAACTAAAATTATAGTTTCTCTGTTTTAAATATTTAAAAATAAAAATCAAAACTAGTATTATCTTAAATTTATTAAAAGTGTAATTAAATATCTATTTTCTTATTTTTATTTGTTTCAAACTTCTCAATTCTACATTTTTGTAAGTTCTATCATTATATTATCATCCTCATCTCCTCCCATATTTCTACTTTATCTTTACAATAGTCAATATTCTTAACTAATTTATAGTTTTAATTATATTTTTTTAGTATATATTTTAGAAATTAATCAATTCTAATCTATTATTTGAAAAAATAATCAATTCTAATCAATAATTTAGAAAACTAATCTATTATAATTAATTATTTGAAAAAATTATCAAATATGATCGATCATTTCGAAAATATAATCGATCAGAATCAACAATCGCTCGAGCGAGATAGACTCGCTCAAGCGTAAATACAACCCGAGAGTACTAATTTTGTGCAGGGCGTTTCGCTCGAGCGAGAATGTTGTCGCTCAAGCGAGATGACGTTTAGATAGCGGTTACACAGAACCGCTCTTAAAATATGACTTAGATAGCGGTTAACCCTTGAACCGCTATTATATGGTTTCAATTATGATCGGTCGAATGCATTTATGACTGATCATAACTATTTTAATCGATTAAATCTCGTTTCAATCGATTAAAACAGTTCTACGACAATGCTTTAATCGATTAAAACTTATTTTTATCAGTTAAAATAACTTGAAAAGTTTTAGGAGAAAGTTTTGCGAGTATTTCAATCGATTGAATCGCAAAACAATCGATTAAATCAACTTAGAAGATTTTTTGTAAAGTGTTTTAATTGATATAAACGTTGCCAGTATCAGCTTAAAACAAATCTGTTAAAGAATCAAGAACGTATTAGTGGATTAAAAGAAGTTTTAACTGATTAAAACTGCACTTTTAACAGATTAAAAGAATCTTTTAACAGATTAATTAAACCAGCAGTTTTGAAAATCTTCTATAAAAACAAGTTTGGCTTGAACTTTTTTAACATACATTGAATATATCATCTTTAAAAAATAAATAAATTTATATATATATATATATATATATATATTTTGCATTTTAATTTTCAAATATTAATTTTTTATGAAATTAATTTTAATTAAAAAAATTAAAGTGATATATATATATATATATATATATATATATATATATATATATATATATATCCAACTATTAAATTATTCAAGATATTAATATAAATTTAAAATATCAATTCAGTAATTAAAATAATTTTAATTTTTTATAAATACATTGAAATACATTTTTATTAACATACAAGTAATATATATATATATATATATATATATATATATATATATATATATATATAAAGAGACTAAATTAATAATTAATTTAATTATTGATTTAGTGACCGATTCGATGACCGATTCGGTGACCGAATCGATGACCGATTCGGTGACTAATTTAATAATCAATTTTAATTTTTTTATTCACATGCTAAATAAAAAAATAAAATCAAATAATTATATTACTAAATTATTTAATAAGTTAGTAAACAATTTTTTTAAAATATTTATAATGTTATTAAAAATGTTATCAATTATTTTAAATTATTAAGTAAATTTATATTTAAAATATTTTAAATAAAATATTTATATAAATGAAAAATAGTTATCAGTGTAAAAATTATTTTTTTAGTGACTGAAATTTTAGTCACTAAATCAGTTACTAAATATAAAAAAAATTAATAATTACATAAATTAAATATAGATTAATTAAAAAAATAAATTAAATAATAAAGTGACTCGAAATAGTAACCGATTTTATGTGACCGAAAATTCGATTACTATTTCGATTACTAGACTAAAAATAATAATTTGGTTACTTGCTTCGGTCATCGATAGTAACTAAATTTTTCGGTCATCGATTTCGGTTACTATTTGACATTTTTCTAGTAGTGAACATTATTCTGATAATTGTTGGGATTAGGGAAATTACCTTGTCTGCCTTGACTACTACCTTGAGCACCCATATAATTAGCTTCTTCTTGTTGAATGTTACCTTGATAAGAACATTGTTCATTTGCATGATCACCTCCACACACATCACAACTCATATGTTGATTAAGAATAGATTGTACTGTGTGCATTTGTTGAGGTAATTTCTCTATTTTCTGGTTCAATGCTTCAATTTGTTGCGTTATAAGTTTATTCTGGGCTAAGATAGCATCTGAGCTATTAAGTTCAAGAACTCCCTTCCTTTGAATTGAATGTCTATCATGTTGGGCCTGTTGGTCTGTAAAGGCTAGTGCATCAATAATTCTGGTGGCATGATCAATTTCTACATCCAACATGGATCCTCCTACTACAGTCTCTAATAGCATCTTTGCATCATGTCGCAAGCCAATATAGAAAATATTCAACTGAGAAACGTCATCAAATCCATGATTTAGACAACTTCTCAACAGTGATTTAAATTTCTACCATGCTTCACAAAATTGTTCATCTGCTCCTTCTCTGAAAGAAGTGATGTCAGATTTTGCTTTGATGTAACGAGATGGTGGGAAAAATCTATTCAGAAACTTCTCTTCTACACTACTCCAATTAGCCAGACTCTGATTAGGATGTGCTTTCAGTCACTCCTTTGCCCTACCTGCCAAAGAAAAAGGAAATAATATAAAATATGCAGATTCAAGATTTGCTGCTCTAAATCTCATGGTACCAATCAACTCATAAAAAGTAGACAAATGAATATAAGGGTCTTCATGATCCAATCTAGTGAATTGATGAGTACTAATCAAGCTTAAGAAAGATGGATTCATTTGCAATGTATGATCATCTGAAATGACAATGCTGGAAAAATGTCTTGGACCTTGCTGCATAGCACAATTTCTAAGAGTTCTTCTAGGTGGATTTGGATTTGGGTTTTGATTTGGATTTATATTGGGATCTGAATTCGGATTCAGATTTGCTCCTTCTTTCGCCATATCTTCTATAATTGGGTCTTGGTAAATCAAGTGTGAAAGAAGAATTAGAAGATTCTTTTGTGACTTGTTCTTGAGTTTCCATTCTTCTTCTACCCCGGTTCCTCCGAGCTATTTTTTCAATCTCTGGATTAAATTCTAAGCTGTTCGAAGATACCTGTCATCTTAAACGCATAAATCAAAAGAATACTCAAGCAAAGATTAGCACAAGACAATAATTAAGTAAAACTAAAATTGAAAAATAAAACAAAAATAGAATTAAAAATAAAAATAAAATACTCAATAAGTTAAACAAAGAATTCTCAAGGAACACCGTTCCCCGACAATGGCACCGTAAATACTTGTTGAATTATTGGCAAGCGTACCAAAATTATCAATCGCAGTATAATATTTCGATTAAATAAAAGTCGATCCCACGAGGAACAATTTCAATGGAAATTCTCAATTATGCTTACTAAGTAGATTAAAACAGATTGGTTTTTATAATAAGAGTTGAATTGAAATTAAATGGCAAAGAACTGTAAATTATTGAGAAAATATCAATTAAAGGTACTTAAGATTGACTTCCTTCCTTGTCCCGCTTTTGTAATGGCTAAATCAATTAAGAACGTCAATTAACCTAACAATGTTGATGCCACCTACTCAAATCATCCATGTTGATTCCTCACACATGAAATTCATAAGAAAACCTAATAAATGTTGATTCCTCACACAATTAAGATATTTCTCAACATTAGGTTTTGGGTGTTAAGCAATTGATACATTCATTCCATTCCTGGCAATTAACGTAACAAATATTCTTACCGTGATCTAGGGTTCAAGATATATTTTCCAATCATACCTCAACCATCAAGAATAAATCATTCCAAAGCATAAAGGATAAGAATAACAACATCAAAGCATAAATTAATATCTCAAAATATCACCATGATACAAAAGAGTTCAAAGGAAGTGCACTGAATCCTAAGAGAATGAAATTAGTCACTCATGTTGGCCATTACAATGCTCTAATTGATGGAGAAGTGAAGAATTAATGAAGATTAGACAAAACCCTAACAGTAGTCGTGACTCCTCCTCTCCAAGACTGCTTGCCTTTCTCAAAACACAACTTATCTTTTTATAAGAGAATTTGGGTCGGGCCTCACATCATTCATTCGCTTAAGCTTTATTCTTTCTTTTAATTTTACTCCAATTATGCTGACAATTGTGATCCTTACTCTTGTATCAAGGTATTCTCGAATTCATCCTATATTGGGAGAAAAATATATTAGAATTAACATAAGTTAAGTGGTTTCATAACAATTCAAGGCATAATTATATCAACTTTTTACCACTTAACAATAACCAAGTCATTCGAGTATAATCATCAATAAAAGTTACAAACCACGTTAAGCCACCCAACGTTGTAACCTTAGATGGATCCTATACATCAGAGTGAATGATCATAAAAGGAAGTGAACTTGTATTTGAAATTAAAGGAAAATATGTTCTGTGACTTTTGCAAGCTCACAAACATCACAATACAAAGTTGAAGTGTCTACTTGGTCAAACACATTTGGAAATAATTTCTTTATGTAACCAAAAAATGCATGTCCTAGATGCTTATGCCATAACCAAATATCCTCGCCTTTTCTCACTTCTTGAGACCCTTTTGTTGTTAGTACTTGACCAAGTCTCTTTGAATCTTTTTCTGTCAAGTCCAAGTAATACAACCTTCCTCGCCTAATAATTCAACCAATCGTCTTCCTCGTTTGAATGTCCTTAAAAACACAAGAGTCAAACCCAAAAGTTACAACACATAAAAGAGCTTTAGTTATTTGCAAGACTGACAATATGTTATATTTAAGAGAAGGAACAATAAGGATAGTATCAATGTTCAAATTGTTTAAAATAGAGACAGTTCTTTCTCCAATGATAGTGGATTTACTACCATTGACTGTGGAAATACATTTTCGTGAGGAAGGTTTAAAATTTTTAATCTATCTAACATCAAAAGTCACATGATCAGAACACGCAGAGTCAATTATCCATGCATTATTCAGAATGGTAAATGTGCTTATTAAGGCCTTACCATTGGAATCATCATTACCTACGGTTGTAGCAAGCATCATGCCTTTATCTACCTCTTTGTCAATGGTAGTTACAAAAATAGTTGGATTTCTTTTTTAATTCTTCTTCGATGCTCGACTGTGATCCCACCACTCGAGATATCCTATGATTTCATAGCATCGTTACTTGGTGTGTCCATCCTTATTATACTGAGTACACTTGTAGTTACCTTTTTGAGGACCTTTTGATTGCTTTGCTTGCTTCCTTATCATCATAGTTGTGGAATCAGAAATCATATATTTTGTTTTCAACATTGTTCGTCGGATTGTCTCTCTTCGGATCAATGCATAACATTTTTTTCTAAATCACGCGTCATTTCTTTGCGCAAGATTTCTCCATGAACATGCTCAAAATCATCATCCACTCTAGCAAGGAATATATGCACCCTCAATCTTTCAATGGACTTCTGATATGCTTCACATCATTAGGGTCTTTCATGAATAATTTGTTACGATGAACTAATTCCCTAAAAATCTCAACCAACTCCCTAAAATATTCAGCTAGGGTTCTATTATTTTGTTTTACAGTGAATACCCTTTGATTCAGGACAAACACCTGTAGTTCATCACTTCCATCATAAAATTGTTAGAAAAGAAGGTTGAGATCAAGAGGGGGGGTGAATTGATCTTTGAAAGATTTTCACAAATTACAGATTATCTATTTCAAAGATTAAGAGTTCTGATCAATTCTTGAATCAAACAAAACAAACAAACAAAATAAAGGCAACAAAAGAATTAAAGAGAGAAAGGTTTAAAGAGATACAACCAAGATTTATACTGGTTCACCCAATCCCAGGGTTACGTCCAGTTCTCAGCCAAATTCTAGCTGAGTTTCACTAGATTGAATGTTTTACAGATTACAATTTCAATCACACACCCAATCTACCACAAGAACCAAAATTTCAGTCCTTGTACCTAAACATTCACCAAGAACCAACTTCCAGTTCTTGAACCACCCTGCAGCCAAATTTCAGCCACAAAAATAAGTGCCCACACTTCTAAATACTCACAATACAGTAATGAAATATAAAAGAAACAAAGAGAAGAAACTAGAACACTCAAACCCAAATTATGCAGCTCTGCAGAATGAGTTTCTTCACAAAAGAAATGCAGAAATTGTCTCAAGAAAGAACTTTGAAAAACTTCACAAAACTTGTGTGATTCTTTCTTGAAAGTAGCTCTTATGATTACTTGATTAATTACTCAAAAGTATATTTTAAAAGATTCAAGCAATCCTGTTTATATAGAGAATTGTTCTAACTGTTGGTTTAATTAATCTGTTAAAACAATCTTTTAATCTGTTAAAAGTCTTGAATTAATCTGTTAAAACTTCTTTTAATCTGTTTAAATGTTCTTGATCATTTTCCAGATTTGTTTTAACTGATGCGACATCATTTCAATCGATTAAAACACTTTGTAAAAAATCTATTAAGTTGTTTTAATCGATTAATTCACCTTTTAATCGATTAAAATATTGCCAAATGTTTTCATAAAACTTTCTAAGTGATTTTAACTGATAATAGTCTGTTTTAATCAATTAAAATACTTTGGAAAAAATCTCTTAGTTGTTTTAATCGATTAATTTGCATTTTAATCGATTAAAATCCTGTCAAATAGTTTCATAAAACTTTTGAAGTCATTTTAACTGATAACACATCGATTAAAATCCTGACAGAACTTCTTTCAAAACCTTTCAAGTGGTTTTAATCGATTAATTCGAGATTACATCGATTAAAATACTGACAGAACATTTTTCAAAATACTTCAAGTTATTTTAATCGATTATTTCGAGTTTTTATCAATTAAAATACTGTCAGAACACTTTTCAAAATATTTTAGGTCATTTTAATCAATTATTTCGAATCTACATCAGTTAAAATACTGGCAGAAGGTTTTCAAAAACTCCTTTAATGAAAACAATCGATTAATTCGAAGATATATCGATTAAAACAGTTCCAGTGTATGTTTTAAAATGTTTTAATCGATTATTTCGAAAACCTATCAGTTAAAAACCTGTTATGTAAGTGTTAAAAACATTTTAACGGATAAAGCTCATATAATATCAGTTAAAACAATTACTTAAAAACCATTTAACCGATTACTTTGGTTTTTAACAGATTAAACACGTTTAGAGGCATTTGCAAAATCTTTTAAATGATGAAACTGTTAAGTGGTAAAAAGTTGATATAATTATACCTTGAATTGTTATGAAACCACTTAACTATTGCTAATTCTAATCTATTTTTCTCCCAATATAGGATG